TGCTGCTGTCCTCACCATGAGCCCAGTCCTGCTGCCTGCTCCCAGAACCCTGCTCAGAGCCACACATGGCCTGTCCTCAGGATCAGCAAATGCAGGTTTCCTCTGAAGCCACCGTGCTGGGGAGACTGGTTTAAGTGCCAGTGTGGCATTTCCAAGACCAGTTGTGAACTGATCTGCACGTGATCAACTGCTCAGACCAACTCCCTGCTTTCCAGTTCAAGGAACTGCCACCCAGTCTTACCCAGAAAGTGAAACGTCACTGCCAGGCTCACAGGATGATCCAGTAAAACATTCACACTTAGTTTTTTCAGGAGATAAGCAAGCTAACCACAGGAACAAGAGTAGGAAATCCCCAGTTTTTTCTATCCCCTTTTGGCTGATTCTCTCTATAAACTTTCCAAATTGCCAAAGACACTAAAATGCAGAAGCCTGTAATTAAAACTTCTCTTATTAAGATGCCTCTGAAAAACCCTGTGCATATAAATGTATATATCTCTAGAAACAGAAACATGCACACACACACACACACACACACACACACACACACACATATGTATTTGTGTACGCACATATCTGTTTGTATCTCCCAGCCAGTATTAGAATACATCTAATCTCCAGCTCATTTAGATGACTTCTTACATTCAGCTTAGATTTTGCACAAATGAATTATCCAGGCTCCCATTCTGAAACCTGACTGAGACCATCAGCAGCACGTTGTGGACCCCAAGCAGCCTAAACTGTGCAAGCAATCAGTAGCCAAAAAGTTCCTTTAGCAGCTGATACTTGCACACTTACCTGTGAACAAATGTAGAATAAGGACTACGCTGGCACGTCAGCGGCCCTCCAGAAGAAAACACTCAAGGCTACTTTCTTCCCTTAGATAAGAGGAAATGGGTCACATCACCTCCTCACAGATCCTAAGACAGAATCCTGAGCTATCGGAGCAATTCCGAGTAGTGCAAGTGAGTACACTTCAGTCAGTAAGAGGAAAGGTTGTTTCCAGGCTTATGCAGAGTAATTTAGCTTTCTAACAGTTTTTTCCGGATATTTTCTTAAGAGGTTGGCTGCTTTGATATTTTCTGAGTTACTGCAGACAGTATAGACGGAATTGTTCCTGCTGCCAAGTGCCACCTGGTGGGAACAGCAAAGGGGTTTGCAAGTAGTGTAAGGGCTCCTTCTCCAGCTGGAAACAGAGCTGGATTTGTATTTGTAATTTGTGGCAATTCACTGCTGTACCCTGCTCTGAATAATTTTTCCTTATTTTGGGTAAAAGGAAAAATACCCCTGCTGCAGGGCACATTTTATTTTACTTTATTTTATTTTATTTTATTTTATTTTATTTTATTTTATTTTATTTTATTTTATTTTATTTTATTTCGTTTCATTTCATTTCATTTTCTCCCTGCTATGTTTCCTTGTAAAACTTCAAAAAGCATGTAAGATCAGCGGGATGGCAGTTGCTACACAAATTGCCCAGATGTTATTCTCATTCAGAATTCTGAATTCTCATTCAGAGCCCGAGTTTTGGTTATCATTACAAAGCCTTACCAATATTTTGGTCATATTTGTGGATTTTGGGATACATCATTCAGAAATAAAATTGGCCAGTCTGTTGTTGGGAGTTTTTTTGGTAGTTGCTGTTGTTTAAACCCACCAGAAGAGTCTGGATGTGACCATTTCATTTCAAGCAGGCTGGTGCAATTCTTGCAGTCGTTAACTAATGAGCTGCACAGACTGAATAGGGGACCGTAACAGGCACACTGCAATGGGATGTATATGTCTGAAACCTGCCCTGCTTGTGGCCAGAGGTGTCTAAAACATTGTTATAATTATTCCTGCCTGGTGTGTTTTAAGGCAGAGCAATGAAGACTGGATCCTCCTCATTTAGCTCTGTTGCTGTTCATAAGATTTTTCACTGCACTCACTGAATCAGCTGACTTTTTCTTTTTTTTCATCATTTTGACATTACAAATAAAACCTATACTTTTCTGTGATGTGAGAGCTCTGTTTCTGTGTGATTGGGCAAGAGCAACTTGCAATCTTTACAGCTGGTAGCAAATGTGTTATTAAAACCCTCAGCACTATGATGACAGCTCACGTGTACAAAAATGATGGACAAACCAAAGCAGGTGGCATTAAAATCTAAGTGGCTGCTTTTTTGGTAATAATGGTGAAGCCTAAACCACCCCCTCCCCAAACACAAAGGGGCTGTAAAGCACATTCCCAGTGACTTGTGTCAGCCTCCCTATCTTGTGCAGGATCAAATCTACTTTGGTCATTCTTGACAAATATTTTGAAATAAATTTCAGTGGCAGAGTTTAGATAGCTTGGCAGGCTGTTTTCATGTTTAAACACTTGGAATTCTTCACTTTTTTCCTCCAAATTGCTCATCAGAAGAGGCCTGCCTGAAAACCAAAATAATTTCTCTTTCCTGCTCTTGGTGGCAGCATTTTCCAGGCTGTGAAGCCTTAGTCACTGCAGAGGACTCCTCAAGGTTCCTCTGACAGCTGATACCTCATACAATTCACAGGTCCCTTGCTTATATTATTTTCCTCGAAATGCTCTCATCTTTTTATGATCCTTCTTAAAAGATAAAGTCACAAAGCAGAATCAATACCCTGAGCATTCACTGCAGTTAATCAAACAGTTGCCTCTTGTGACTCCTTTAAGTCATACCCACATGTCACTCATTTCCTTTTCCACCACATCATGTGGTTGGCTAATGTTCTCCTTCAATTTCTCTAAAATTTTCAGGTGTATTGCACTTTTTTTGAACTGAAAAAATGCAGCCTAGACAGTTTTTTGTTCACCATTTTAATGGTTTTCCCTTTCCTTTTCTTTTGACTTCAAACTAGTCCATGATTATTTTGCCTGATTGATTTCAGATACTTTTCCAGCTAATCAAGACTCCTTTGGATTTTAGTCTATCCTGAGGAGCCCTGGTAGCTCTCCCAGGGTGCATTTTCCCAAGCTTAGCAAGGAGTGCATACTCCTGCATTCAGTTACTTTCCAAAAAATTACGAAACAGCACTACATTGCATTCTTGCAGACCAATTATTTTATCTGGGGAAAAGGCACAAAGTAAAATACAAGACTTTTAAAACTCATTATCTATATAAATATTTGATATAAATAGTTGGAAGACAAAACTATTCAGATTTTATGTGCTATTTTATGTCCTATTTGATAACTGGTTGCAAATATTTGAGAAGAGACAAGCAAACAAATCTTTTGTTCTGCTTTTAGAAAATGAAAGTGAAACAATATAGGATTTTTCACTGGCTTTCACTGCCAGAAGTGCAGTTTTATCTCCTGCTCCATATTCTCTCCAGAAACTGCAGTTTACACGACAGTTCTAAAAGAGCAAGTTTTGCAGCCTGTATTGCAAAGAATGTTTTCCTGAGCATTAGCGTAAAAGATCTCAGATAAACCTTGAACAGTGACTTATCTAATGTCTAGTTTCAATAAGATTCATCTCCTACATGTTTTATCACAGCTCACTTCAAAAATTTACTATTAATGGTAATTTTCATGTGTGTTTAGGTAAATCAATGCCAGTCTTATTTGTTTCATTCTCTGTCTCATAATGAGTGCGTGCATATCCAAGGAGGTAAGAACTACAGCCATTTTAATATCTTATTATTATGTTATTACATATTATCCTGCTTGTCCAGATCAATGGTACATTTCCTATACGGAGTCTTTATCACATTTCTTCCACATAACCCTTCACAATGGAAATTTCTTTGATAAGCTAATGAACCTGCCATCCTTTCATGTTTAATATTATTCCTGGATGCATTTGTGCTATCATTTCTATAGTAAACTGTTAGGCATGACTGCTAGCAAAGACTGTTTGCATCTAAACCTCTTTTTTTAACAATAAATATTTCTGAATCTAATAATTCCCTGTAGTTGTGTTGATGACAGTAACAGTAAAAAGGAAATTGTTTTTGTAAGAAGCCAAATATCTCATAGAGCTGAAAATATATCATGTGCCACAAGAAAAATGTATTTTCAAAATACTCCTTCCACTTCTGTACCAGTGAGGGAGCATGCCCCAGGGAATCCTGATTTCCAATCCTAGAGGGTTGGAAATTCCCCTCTGTGCACAGAAGGCAGAGCCCAAAGCCTTCAACCCAGATTAATTTATAGTCACCAAGGAGATGCACAGGTCTGGCTTCCAGTGAAGAGTGGAGGGGACTGAACAACAACCATAAAAAATGCCAAAAGGCAAGGATGCACCGTAGGTAAAGCTGTTATCATCGCTTTTGTGTTGTTTTTAGCATAACTACTATCAGTGATTTCAACAGCAGCAAAACAGAGCATCAGAAGGCCTGACACTGCATTGAGGCTGAAGGACTTCTAGCAGTATCCACCTTATATATATAATCAGTGGAAGTTCCTCCTTCCTGTGCCTACATCCCTATAGAAGCCCTCAGTTCCTGTTAGGGGATTTTTTTTTCCCCTCATAAAATGCGAAAGAATAATTAAGTGTCTTTTAAATTATTTCATCATTCCAATGTTGCTGAAAAAACCTAGCTTTTTAATTCAAGAACCTCATATTAGAATGCACGGAAGTTCTTGTTCTTTCAAATCAAGAAATAAGAGTACTGTAAATTAAGATCAATTTGTACTATCATTTTTATGTATGAAGACCTTACTGGAAATTAGGAAGATTTCTGAATGCCCAATTAATTCTTTCTTCTAAACTGTCAATAATATGCTGCTAAGGAAGACTTCAAGAATAACCTTACTGTTTAGTCTATGCACAACAGCACCTCATCCATGCCCTAAAATTATTCTCTCCCTTCAGCTCTGCTTTGCCAGTCTGTCCCATTCACAACTATTTCCATAATTTCAGTCAACACTTGGTCCTCTTGTTTGTTCTTTAGTTAGTTCCTCAGTTCCTCTTGCACGAGTCACATAAAACATGCCATATTTTACTGCAGGTACTGTGCCTCTGACTGCTTCTCATGATTACTTTTCAGAGTACTCTGACTTCATCTTGCAACAGATTCAAAAGTTATCCAGTTATTTGTCTTGTAGACTGGGTAAGCAACATCCATATACTTACTCCCAGATCTTTTTTTCTTCCCCCTGCCAAAGACCAGCCTGTCAGTATTTACAAAAAAAATCAGCAATACCTACCAAGTGTGGCATCTGTCCCTGTACATACAGCATAATAAAATACTTTATTTTCTCACTTCCTGCTCTGAGAACTGTCCCGTGCAATTCTTGGTGTACAATGAGTAATAATCTACTGGATGCACCTCTGCAACCATTTGGGTATTTTAATAGTTTCATAAGTTACATAAAGGTAAGAAGAAATTACTTTAAATACTTTAAATACTTTAGAAATTACTTTAAATACTTTAGCAACTAAATTTAACACATTTTTTAAAAAATCCCAAAACCCCCCAAAACTAAACAAAAAAACTCAGATGTAATTAAAAACCTTTTACTATAATTTATCATTTTCAGGCTGTGGTCCCAGAAACACAGAGGCTAATCTGTTACACAGCACTGTTACCTCCTTCATGTTCTCCCTCTGCTTCCACAGATATCAAGCTATTTTAAAAGATGCCTACAAAAACCAGCTAGAAACAAAGCCTAGGAGCCAGAAATATGTGCTTTATCAGCTCATGTCTTTTTTTAAGAGAGGTACTGCAGAATAATCTCCTAAAATTTTACTCTACAGAAAGTACAGAAACACTGGCATAGCATCTCATTAACTGTAGCATAACTATAAACCATAAAGATTGGGTATTATGTGGGACTACACAACAATATGGAAATTCACTTAGCCTAGAAAGGTCTTCAGGACAGTGCATGACAGATCTTGACACCTTGATAGAAAGAATTCAGTACATTAGACCAATTCTATAGTAATTTTTTTTTTTTTAAACAGGTTCCAGTCCATTCAGTTATAAAGAAGTGTAAGATAATCCTGTTGTTTTCTGTGGTGATTCAGGGCTATAAAAGAAGTCACATGCCTGGAAAAAGTGCTAGCTTCTGCAAAATGCAGAGGACCATCAGCTCAACAACACAAGGTTTCACAAGCATATTTTGCTGGTATTCTGTTCTGTATTGCCACCCCAGCAGACTTACAACTTAATTTAAACTCCTCATCGATGCGCTTGAAAGAGAGATTGATCTTTGTCATTTTCAAAACACAGTTGCACTCCAGAAGAATCAGCAAATGATCAGTAAATGGTGGCATTCATCAGCAAATGGTGGTTCACATACTGGGAATGTGAAGTAGTGGTGGAAAGGACCTCAGTAAACTATGCAGTTTACATACTCTAACTGGATTAAGGATGAGAAAAATTTAACAGATATGTTAGAACTCTGTCTGTGATCTGTAAAAAAGGAACCTCTGCTTTCCAGGACACATCTCATCTAGCAATTAGCACCTAGAAAGTTTTCCTTCGTATGCAAGCTAGATTTTGCTTTTTGCAAATATTTTCCCCCCATGCTCTCCTTATCCCCCAAAACTTCTCACCATTCCTAGAAGAAAAGAACCACAACCCTATATACAATGACATTCACATTTCTCAGACTTCATTTTTATGTCCTTGTTTCCAAGTATTTCTGATTTTATTGCACACAGAGATTTTACAGTTCTGAAATAGAAAAGGCCATAAGTTGCATAAGTTCCATAAGTTGATTTTTTGTTTTAAGTAAACATAACTTATTTTCAAACCTAATATTCTGTTCTTCAGCAGGTGCTGCTGACTTTATGTGGTGAAAGCTGTTGTAAGCCACTTACATTTTTGTAGTAGATAGTGGTGCCTGAAGACACAATGTGAGACAGAATAAAAAACATCCACTTTTTTGGAATGTACTTCTTAGCAAGTATTATTTGTTAGTTTTCCATATAACAAGAGTTTTCTGCACTCTGAAAACACTGAAAAGCTACAGCAGCACAGAAGGGGTTTAACAGAAAAGAGAGATTTCTGTTGTGTCTCACTACTTCACATCCAAGGTTCATATATTCACAATACACCTCAGAGACAATGATTGCATAAATTGTCACTTCAAACAAGCACCATGCAGACTGTCCTAAACCATGAACTTAGATACATACTGAAAAAAAAAATACAGCTAAGTGTAGCAACAATTTCCTTCTGTTTAATATCAGCAAAGCCTTCCTCATGCTGTGGCTGTGGGGTATCAGGAGAACATGAGGGCACAGGATACAAGCAGAGAGGTGACATTTGAGCACAGACCTCTGGTCCACATCTGCTTCTTCCCAGCTTCACCATCCCTGTCTCTTCTCCTCTGCTGATACTTCCACGTGTCTTCTCTCACTCCACCTTGGTCCTGAAGTAAAGATGGAAGCATCCTGCCACTTCTGCTCAAAGAAAGCATTTTGGTAGAAAATGCTTTGGCCATGTGGAACTTCACAAACTGGCCATCATTTGGGGGAAGTGGAGAGGAAAGTGCTGACCTCTTCTCCCTGGGATTCATGGCAGGACACATGGAAATGACTCAGAGCTGCGTCAGGGGAGGTTCAGACTTGACATGAGGAAGCATTTTTTTACCAAGAGCAGGGGGCAAACGTTGGAACAGGCTTCCTATAGAGGTGTTCAATGCCCCAAGCCTGTCAGTGTTCCAGAGGCATTTGGAATACTGTTTTTAATGTGACTTTAACATTGGGTCATCCCTGAAGGGGTCAGGGAGTTGGAAGAGATGATTCTTTCAGGTCTCTTCGAAATGAAAAAAAATCCTTTATTCTTTGCCTTGCCTTGCCTTGACTTGCCTTGCCCTTGCCCTTGCCCTTGCCCTTGCCTTTGCCTCCCCTCCCCTCCCACTTCCCCTCCACTCCCCTCCCCCTTCCCCTCCCCCTTCCCTGAACTGCCCTGAACTTCCCTGAATTTCCCTGAACTTCCCTTCTCTTTTCTTTTGTGAACTTTTCTAAACTCCTCTGAACTTTTCTAAATTTTCCATTTCTGAACTTTTATTTTCTTTTCTGTACTTTCCTTTCCAGAATTTTTCTTTTCTTTCCTGAAGTTTCCTGAACTTTCCTAAACTTTCCCAGAAATCCCTCTTCCTCTTCCTCTTCCTCTTCCTCTTCCTCTTCCCCTTCCTCTTCCTCTTCCCCTTCCCCTTCCCCTTCCCCTTCCTCTTCCTCTTCCCCTTCCCCTTCCTTTTCCCCTTCCCCTTCCCCTTCCCCTTCCCCTTCCCCTTCCCCTTCCCCTTCCCCTTCCCCTTCCCCTTCCCCTTCCCCTTCCCCTTCCCCTTCTTTACTTTCTTTTCCTTTCTTTTCTCTACTCTAATTCACCAACATACTGTTTGCATGGAGGTTCTCAGGTTGTTTTTCTCCCCATCTCAAGGGACTATGGTGGCTGATTATTGTGTAAAGTGTTGCAAAGCCTTTGCAAATAAAAAATTAAATAATTCAGAACAGAAAAAGTCTCTTCCCGGCTTGCCTAAGGCAAGTCATTTGAATAGAAGTGAGAAAAATATCATTTTGCCCATTATCAGCTCCACACAAGGTGGATAATGGGTTTGTTCTGGGCAGATGCTGGGGCTTTTAATAAAAATTCTCCCAAATAACTCTCTCAGGCTGCTATTCAACTGCAAGACATACTTATCATCATCCTCCTTATTATTATTATTATTACACCACCAGCATTACCATCACAATTATCCATCAAAACATCCAATAGCTCAATTGTAGAAGATCCCAAAGGACACGACAGAAAGAAAAATCCAATTTCCAATTATCCTGTTGGAGCTAAAATGCTCTCATTACTATCAGACCTGTTCTACAACATCTGAGAGACTGAGCCCTTGTGAGAGATGCTGTCAGGTAAACACTGGCACAGCTCTTGCAGGGAGATGATTCTCCCACTGAAATCTACAATGTTTATTAAGAAAATGTGCTTTTTTAATTTTATTTTTTTAGTCTGTATCTGTTTTTAAAACAACCATTTCAAACAAAAGCTATATCTAACCTAACATTCTCCTATATTAAACATTAGACATTAGATATAGCATCAGTTGCATAAGTTTCTTTCTGTCTTCATCTTTTCCAGAATATAGATCAGATAATCCTTACTATCAATTTCATACTCCACTCTTTTTGTAACTTGGGAGATATGTCTCCAAATTAACACTTCAGTATTTACTATTTGAAATTTCTGTAATAATCTCTGAGAGTAAAAAGGCTCTGAGAGTAAAAAGGCCTCCCAGCAAATTAGGGAGACCAAACCTAAAAAATTTACAGTCTGTGTTGCTATTGCTTCTAATTCCCTACGGATAGGCACTAACCATCCAAGTGACAACTTACAAAGGACACTGCGCAGAATTATACTTTGTAAGGTCTCATAGAGAACCCAAAAATAGTTAAGCACTGAAATTGTGCTCTACCATAGGAAACAGTTCTTGTAAATTACTGAAATGTTTAATATTACAGTTGCAATGGCACTGTTCCAAATATTTTAACCTTACAGCACAAGCTCTTCATTACCTCACTAGCCACCCTTCCATCATTCATCGGTTCATAGTTAATGTAATTTTCTTTACCCTTTAGAGTTCATATCAGGGAATGCACTCAGAAGAAAAAATTCCCTCAATTTATTTTTTTTTGGCAGCAAATGTTCTTGGATAACACAGCACTGTAAAAGAAATAATTCCATTTAGCACCAGTAGAGCTAGCCATGACATCCCAGCAGCTGGAATCAGCTTGTAGCCATGTTTGTCTACAGACTAATTGCCTCATCTGGTACACCACTATTACTGGCAACTGGAACAGGTACTCTGTAGGACAAACTGGGAATAAAGCTGCAATCTGAAGGTGGAACTTGAAAAAGGGACTTGGACCAGAAACTTCTTTTGAGAAAGTACACAACTGACATGTCATCCTGTCAACCACATACTCACAAGTTTCTCCAATGCAGAAATGGTTTGTTTGAACAGCTGCAGGCCACTTTGGTTACTGCCCAGGCAACATGTCTATTGAGTGAAAGAAGCTGCTTGAACAGGCTTAGAATATGGAAAATCTGCAGCTTTTTCTGGAGACCCACTCTACAAAGACTATGTAGGGACCTGAAGCAATATCCTAATTCTGAGCAACTTTAGCAAGCACACGTCATCCAGGATCTCAAGCTGCATCGCAAGCAGAGCCTGTCATCACTTGGTTAACCTCAAGAAGCAATTTAGGAGCTGAATTGCCAACCAACACATCCCACCAGCAAGCACTGTGAAAAGAACAGAGGGTTTTCCTAATGTAACACAGCAGCTGAAAGGGGGTTGTTCAAGCCACAGATCACTGCTGTGGAGACCAGACACTTCTGCCCAGTCTTCTTCACTGAAAAGAAAACCTTTGTCACACTTGTCTTAACAGGTGAGAGTCTTCCAGAGGGAGCACCACCCACCACTGAAGCAGGCACACTTTCAAAAGAAAGACCAGACCTTTGAACAGGAGGAGTTCAGCTGCAGGAGTTGAAGCATTTTATTTTCTCCAGAAAAAAAACCTGGTAGTTTCAATAGCATCCAGCTATTGAAACTTCCAGCTCTCTGCAAGTGTAATCAAAATGGTTAATCTGCCTTTGACATAATAGCATGGAGCTTATTTTGGATTCCTCAGTAAGGAGGGCTCGGGTGAGGCAGTGAAACCAAGGCTTCCCCTTTCTTGTGAGTAAAGCACATCCAGTATGCTGGGTGAACAGAGAGAATAGTGGTGAGAAAATGGTAAAAGATTTTCTGGTTTTAGCCGTTCACAAGGGGATATACTATGTATTTGGGAATGACAAAAAATCTTCTCTACCTGTCTTGATTGATATTGGATGTATTGGTACAAATTTATGAATAATAAATTCACTGTAATAAGCTGCTAGAAATTCATAAAAGCTACTGGTTCCTGTATCCTTTTATCTGGGTTTACTTGGAATTGTAGTATTTTTTATAATTAATAAAAGCCTGAGTCAAACAATATGTGAGGCCCAACATCGTATCTGTTCGTCCTGACCGTCCTATCCCCTGACGCTTCTACGTTAACTCAGTCAAATTTTTCACCTGTGATTGCAGGAACAATCCACCCCATCCCTAAAGTTCCGGGGACACAGCATGCCAAGAACAACAGCCTTTACCAACCTTGCTTTTCCTTCTGCTTTCCTAGCCCATGGAAGAGGGTTCATCCCGCGCAGCGGCTCTGTTCCCAGAGCGGCTGCTGTGCCCCACCGTGGGTACCACACCTGGTACCCACCACCTGCGAGCGGAGCCTAACCCCTGCCATGTGCCTGATGCAAGCCTGGAGTGCATTCTCGGGAACAGAGCCTGTTATAAATGATCAATCATGAGCCAAATTATCAAAAATGCGGAAAGACTTATTTATCTTTTTGCGCGACCAAAATACGATCCTCAAAACCACCACAGCCAAAGAGGCAGCGTCGAGCCCGGGATCGGCGCTGGGTGAACCTGGATCTGACCTCTATCGCATCAGAATCCCCCCGTTCACGAGAGCCGCTTCTAACGACAAGGTTTTATACAGTTTATTGTGCCCGAGGTGAAGGAGTCCCAATTTCTTTTGTAACTCTTCCCATTCATCACTGTTCCTTTCAGTGTGCAGAGCTGGACAAAGATCGTCTCCAGGTGGATAGTCAGCGTTGATGGGCTCTGGGGAAGCCATGTATTCAGATGTATAAATCTGGTGTCCCTGGCTATCTTGATTGATGTTTTCTGTGGGACGATGATCGCTCTTAGGCGGTTTCTGACGACTGGAGATACCGGTGATCATCATCCTAGAAACATCTATTCTTACGCTAAAGTGTCGATCGTTATCTTAGCTGTGTCCGGGAACCTTAGAATCTGAATAGACATCTGCTCTGGCCGTGTGTGGTCAGAGACATGTTTGGATTTCACAATCCTTATAAAATACATTCTTTAATAGCATGAATTATTTCTAACATATATTGCAGAGCCAATATTGGTTCGGAAACCAAGGGTACCAAACCTCCCAGGAAGCCCTCACTGCCGCATCCTCGTTGCCACAGCCGTGGCTGTCCCCACCGCAATTCTCTGCAGGATGTGCCCATTCCCTGCCAGGATGCAGCCGCTCCCTAGGCGCTTACCAGGAGCCACAGGTGGCCCCCAAAGAGCAGCGTGACCCTGGGCTACAGCTGCCAGCGTGTCCTGGGGCTGCAGGAGCTGTGTCTCCCACCGTGCCTGGGCAGGTGCTGCTGCAGTGTCCCTTGTGGCCGGGGGTGACAGCGGGGCCACAGCGGAGCGCACTTGGGATCCCCCTTTGGGCACAAATGTCTTTCCAGAAGCTTCTGATCGATGTAAATTGGAGAGACTTTTCCCAGTATTTTTTGAGCTCCAAGGGAACATTTGAAATTTGATTTCCTCATTTTTCCTTTCATTACTAATTATCTACTAATTTATCTTACAGAATTATCACTGGGGCCTTCTGTTACTCTTTTATCTTTTGCATTTCATCTACTGAAAGATGATTTTTCTTCTTCAGCTGGTCGCTTTTCCTTTCTTTTTCTGTGCTGACACCACCACTGTGGTTTCTCAGACAGTTTTGACCATAGTGTTTCTAAGGCTCATTTGAGGCAAAAAACTTTGACATATGCCAAAACAGTGCATGGTTATCCTAACAAGAGCTCAAAAGCACAAATGCCTCTATGGTGTGTCCTTAAATGCTTTCACTTTTTGGCTCCCTGACTGTATTTGGAAGTGCTTTAGGTGTGTGTGAAGGGAAAGGAGCACTGTGGGTGACACGGTGCCAGTGACAGGCTGGCCATGGAAAAGGCTGGCAAGAGAAGCCCTGGTCCCCAGGAATCACTCGAGCACATGTCCAATGTAAAATGCCTCTTGAAAACAGTTTACTGCTTAGCAATTCCTCTTTAAAAAGAGGCTACACACAGGGTGTCATACTAACTGATGTGCCTGTCCTATAACACATCTCTCCCTATTTAAATTTATCTAAAACCTTAGTCTCGGGTTGCTGTTGATAATTGCTGCCCTGGGATGCGTAGGATGTCTGTTTCAGCCCCCGCAACTGAAGAACGAGTCTGGACTCTTCACTTTTCGGTTTTGAGGTTGTTTATTAATTCTTATCTATAAAATTTTCTTTCTGCCCATATGAGGTCCACTCTGCAGGGCAGCCACAAGCACTCTGACTGCCCCCAAGGCGGTGTTGTCTTTTTGTACTGCAAACTACGTATAACATATTTACCCTTAATTCCCAATACCTATCACCTATGTTAGACAGTGCACTTCTACTCTAAACCAATCCCAAAGTGCCAACATCACTGCAGAAAATGAAGAACAAGAAGAAGAAGAAAGGCTAGACATGCCCAAGTTCCTCCATCTTGTCCCCACAGCCCCCATACCAAAAATCCTAAAATCTACATTTTCACCCTGTGATCATTTTGTTATTACACTATTCAAGCGTCTGTGACTTTCAGGTCCTCATACAAAGTTGAGGGGGCTCCAGGGGTCAAAATCATTCCCCAGGTGTTTTGGGCTCCATGCCAGGGTCTCCAATCCCCCCGGCGGGGTCCTCGGCAACTCTGGACACCCGGAGGGATGAACTGAGTTCCGACACCTTAGCAAAGGTTTAATTCTCGAGTTATTATTATGTATCATTCAGCTGCTTGGAACATTGATTGAATCCTGTATTGGAAGCAAACTTAAGCATTTCTAAGGCATATCATTTTTTTCTGGCAGTTCTTGGTGTGACTGTAATTTGGGATTTTGCACTATGTTTAAAATAATCTCTATGCAATTATAGTAGATATAATCAATATTTTGAGTTCAGCATATCTTTTTATAAGAACTGATTATATGTAATTTTTACTTGGTATCCATAATGTCAAATAGAGAGGTGGGAGTAATGTTAAAGAGATAGCTGGAGATGCCATATGAAATAAAGAATATAAGGAAGCCTCAAAGCACTGCAAGGTAATTATTTTATTACTTGGAAAGTAATATTTTTGCATATTTTTTTTGCTGTTCCTACCCATACAGTTGTAAAGTAATGTGGAGTATGCAGTACCTTATTGACATAATGGTGGAAATTGATTTTCAGGTTTCATGTTCATAACTTCCTTGATCATTCATGTTAGTAGAGCACAGCTGAACTTTTATTACCTTTCCTTTTGCATTTGCTTATATGTGGTGATAAGAATATGAAGTGTAGAGTGCTAGTGTTAAAAATCCTCTTCTAATCTAGACCCCACAGAGGAGCTTTGAGCTCCAGGTATGGTTACTGACAGAACAGTTCAGATATGTAACCTTTTCTGGCAGGAAAAGCTGAATTTACTATTTTTTTCCAGAAAATTACTTTAACATCTACTATTACCTGATTGAATAGTTCATAAACTGTAACAACAAAACTCAGGCCATGGATCAGTAAGATGCATTTCACTCATTTTTAAACTCAAAATTGTGTAATTTTAAGCAGTCTTGAAGCAAGACAAAAATATCTACAATTTTTAGTTATTCATTGGCCTGGCAGCTGCTGTTTTAAAGCAACCTGATCAGGCCAAAGTAGAATATAAGAAGGCTATTGATATTGAACAAGACCAGTTACTATCAGTTATGTTCAAGATCCACTTTTTCTCTCCCTGAAAAGTGTAAATATGGAGTTGAATACAGGAACAGAGCAGAATTCAGGCTTGGATCATGTTTTCTTGAGGCTTTTAGTTCTGTGGTAGCTTTAGAGAAGATGAGGTATGTATTATTTTTGTGTCCAATGTCGAATCACAGTGAACTTCAATTTCAGTGTATTTAAGTTTGTATTTAGGCTAAATAGCAGTGAAGCTTAGAAGGGAAAGCATGAATTGAAACAAATAAGGAAATTCATCCATGTTTGGAAATTTCTCTGTTTGTAGCTGAAGAAACACTTGACAAGGCTCCTCTGCTTTAACTAGTTTATCCAATTCATCTTGTTTTTCTTGTTTTATCTTATTTTTCCAGCTTTCACCATGAAGTGGATTGTTAATGAATTTTGCTGTTAATTATTTAAATGTATTTAAAATGTTAAATGTATTTAGAAACATGGTGCATGAAAGCCTGTTGCAGTATATACTCACCATGTACTTGGGGTGTCTTTAGAGATTTGTGACACTTAAGTTTGCATATTAAGTCAGTCTCTGACTGCAACAAAAACCTCTATTTTTCTGAAGTTCTTAGTATTTTCAATATAAATACCTTCTTAAAGTGTGATTGTTGGTGCCTAATTTAAAGGTGCCTGATACTGAAACTGCTCAGTTTTGCATTCAGATTCTGCATTTTTATCACTATACAAAACATTATCATGCTTGGATGTAGATCTTTCATGGCATGACTTAATGTGCTTTGTATATAGTCAGTTGTGCAGGCAGGTTTATGTAATATATACAGGTTTTGCATAGTTGTTTGTAATTAGCTTAGGAAGCTAGGAAAGCTTTTCATTTAAAATAAGAGGACTCGGAAGGCTGTGCAGAAGTATCAAGGTAGATTCTGCTCAGTGATTACCACATTAACACTTGACTTCATAGAAGGTAATAGAGTAAGTTTTGTAGACAGAATTTGTTCTCATGACATGTAGCCTTTAACACTAAGTCTTTCTCCTTTTATTAATTCTTTTTTTTTCTAGTAAGGTGATGAAAATTCCTATGAGAAGTCTAACCATCCAACCAAACAGATGTCAAAGGGGGCTTAGTAGATCAAAAGCTCTTGGAACTCTATGTGAGGCAAAGGATATTGAATACCAAAATTCACTCTTAGGATTTCTAATTCAGTGGATGCCATTGCTGATACACAGATTAGACATAATTTCTAGAAAAGCCTTGTCACATTGGTGTGTCAGGACGATGTAACTCTATAAAGTTTCTTGATCCTGTCCATTTTGATAGGGCAATAATTGTACTTCAGATTAATAGTTAAGAGAATCCTGTGTTATCCTCCATCCTCTGACTAAACTCAGTGCTTTTAAGCTTT